GAGCTCACTTCCTCCCAGCTAACACGCGCGGGAGGAAGCACCGGGGAGTGTAAAGAGGAGAGGAGGACAGAGTCAGACCCACACCCACATCAGCCCCAGCCAGCAGAGTCCACCCTCCTGCAGGTAAGAAACAGGAGGGTGGTTAAAAAAAAGTGTGTCTGTATGTATCTGTGGATATATCATTGTGTGTATCTATGTGTTTGTTTGTATCTGGTTGGCAGTGTGCACCTGAGTGTATGTTTTTGTTATTGTTTTATTCTTTGATTTTTTTTATAGCAGTGCTGCAGCTTTTATGTTCATGGTTTTCTAGTGACTGTGTATTTGATTTTTATGTACACTTTTTGTCCACAATCATTTTCACTACTTAGTTGATATGCCCCATTTATTTTAGTTTTAGTTGGGGCTCTGTTTAAATATTTAATCAGATTGTTAGTTTGTTTTGGTAACTTTGTTGTAATGTATATCTTTTTTATTTGGCGTTGCCTGTCCTGGCTTTTTGATCTTTACATACAGACTGTCCATGTTGTGTACGTTTTTATCTTGCATAGCCTGTCTTATATTTTATATGCATGGCCTATTTTCTGTCGTTTGCATTTATTTTTTTAAAGTGTGTTGTTTAATTAGTGCAATAAATTTATTTATATATATATATATATATATATATATATATATTTATATAAAGCTGGAGCGCTCATGCTTTCTTTGTTTTCTGAGATTCTAAACTAAAGCTGTGTTTATTTGGTGTGAATCTGCCCATAGAATCGATTACTTTATTATTGTTTCTCTACATTTTTACACATATATTTTATTTATATTTTGTTTTTATGTGTATCTGTTTATGTGTGTCTGTATGTATCTGTCAATGTGCACCTGAGTGTGTGTGTGTGTCTGTATCTTTCAGTGTGTTTATTTGTGTGTCTGTGTATTTGCATGCATGTCAGTGTGTGTCTGTATGTCTCCTATGTGTGTGTATGTATCAGAGTGTTAGTGTGTGCATGTGTGTGTCTGTGTATATTTGGGTGCCAGATTGCACCTGAGTGTGTATCTGTCTCTGTGTGTGTATCTGTGTGTCTGTATCTGGGTGTCAGTGTGCACGTGAATGTATGTGTGTGTGTTACTGTGTCTGTATATTTTCATGTATGTCAATGCATGTGCCTGTATATCCTGTGTGTGTGCATGTGTGTATGTGTCTGTATCTGTGTGTCAGTTTGCACCTGAATGTGTCTATGTATATGTGTGTATGTCTATGTATCTGTGTCAGTGTGAACCTGAGTGTATGTGTGTGTGTAACTATGTGCCAATATGTGTAACTGGTGTCTGGGTATTTGCATGTATGTCAGGGTGTGTGTGTATATACTACAGACAAATGCACGCTTGCATTCAAACACCAACATTCAAATACACACATACTCCATTCAAAACCATGTTTATATTCAAACACACATTCACTGCTGAGTGCTAAATACAGCCCTGCAAATTGTAGATCCCTAGCTAGCAAAGCATTCTGGGACTTACAGATTCGGATCTACATTTGGCCACTTTACACACACTGCATCCACTAAACACACACTGTGCATTGACTACACACACACAGACTCTGCATTCACTTTACACACATAATGCATCCTTGTGGGCAGATTCAAGGACGGCCCTGTGGGCGGACTCGTGAGTGGGCTCTTGGGGGCCCAGACCTTGAACTTTGTCAGGGGCCCCAAGATTTCTGATGGCAGCCCTGAGTGCCATGACCGGTTCTTTAACCCCTTAGTGGCCAGACCGTTTTTTAATTTTCTTACCAGGGCCAGGGCTGTTAAGGTCCTTGTATTTTCACACACACTGCACAAAGACAATCTGGTTATGTTGCATCAAGAAAAGACGACTAATAGAACATTAATATATTTTTGTGGTGTTTGTGTTTAGCTGTAATTTTCCTCTTACTCATTTACTGTAACCACACATATTATATACTGGTTTTCTCTCCATTAAATGGTCTTTCCAAAGATACCCCCAAAATCTGTTCCGCATCTACAAACACCAAAAAACACCCATTCTAAATAGTTTCTAAATTTTGTCTTGAGTTTAGAAATACCCAATGTTAACATGTTCTTAATTTTTTTTTGGAAAGTTATAGGGTAAGAAGTACAAGTTGAACTTTGCTATTTCCAAACCTTTTTTTTTTTCACAATTAACGAAAGTTACATTGTATCACTGATATCTGTCAGGAATCCCCGAATAGCCCTTCACATGCATATATGTTTTATAAGAAGGCAACCTAAGGTATTAAACTTGGTGTATTTTGACTCTTTTCATATAACCATTGTACCACCAATCTATGCCAAATTTAAAAAAAAATATGTTTTTTGACACACATAGCAATTGTGAGTTTTTTGAAACACATAGCAATTTAAGAATACATGTACTAATGGTTACAACCCAATATGTGTTCAGCAACATCTCCCGAGTACAGTGTCAGGTTCTCTGGGGGCTAAAAGACCTTATTTGGAGGGTGTGCATTTCAGTTTTCCAACTTGGAATTTTCACAGCTGGTCATCATGCACCCATGTCCTATTTGGGACATTTTTGAAGCAGGCCAATTTAATTTACCCACAGCAAACCATATATTTTTGAAAGGCAGCCAGCCTAGGGTATTTCAGATGGTGGTATTATAACACTTTCCATGCAATAATTCTACCACCAGTCTTTGTCAAACTTTTGGGTAGTAATTTTTTTGTGTTATGTTTCTCTCACATTGTAATTTAGGCATGGATTCCCAGTTCCTGTTATGTGTTACTGGCACAGAACACCCCAATATGTGTTCAGCAACATCTCCTTAGTACAACAGTGTACCCCCGAAGTACAGGTTTTATGGATTTTTGCAAACTTACAGTGGTCAAATGTATTTCTTTCCCCTTTTCCATGCTTGCACATTGAAATTTGCCAGATTGGTTTGCTGGGCCTATGTTGCCTTTGAGACCGTATGGCAGCCCAGGAATTAAAATTAACCCATCATGGCATACAATTTGTAAAAGTAGACAACCCATGATATTCAAAATGGGGTATGTCCAATCTTTTTTAGTAGCCACTTAGTCACAAACCCTGGCCAAAATTAGCACTTATATTAGTTTTTTTTGCAGTTTTCACACATAAACTGACATTTCACCGATTATATTATCAGTATAATACATTTTACTGCTCTAAAACACTCATATTTGTGTAGAGTAATGTCTCATGAGTACAACAGTACCCCTCAAGTACAGGTTTTATGGTGATTTGGAAAGTTACACGGTCAAACATAAGATTTTCCAATTTCTGCTTTTGTAAATTTCTATGTGCCAGATTGGCTATGTTGCCTTTGAGACAGTATGGCAGCCCAGAAATGAAAATTAACCTCACAATGTATCATTTAAAAACACTGACAGTCCAGGGTATTCCAAATGGGGTATGTCCAGTCTTTTGTAGTAGCCACAAAAGCATATTTATTTTTTGCATTTTTTTAAACGAAAACTGCACTATTACTGGTGGTTTCATCGTCGTGATAGTTTTTACTGTTTTAAACACTCATAGTTGTGTTCAGTGAATTATGCTGAGTATATAAAAAAAAAATATCCCCATGTACAGGTTTTATAGTGTTTTGGAAAGTTAAAGGGTCAATATAGGGCTTGCCCAATTCAGTTTTCCAGATTGGTTTGCTGGTTCTATGTTGCCTTTTGAGACCATATGGTAGCCCAGGAATGTGAATTAACCCCATCATGGTATACAATTTTCAAATGTAGACAACCCAGGGTATTCCAAATGGGGTATTTCCAGTCTATTTGTAGCAGCCACTAAGTCAAAAATGCTGGCCAAAGTTAGCATTTTTATTAGTTTTTTTGCTTTTTTTTTTAACAAAAACTGCAATTTTACTGGTGATATCATCATAGTGATAAGTTTTATTTTTAAAACACTCATATTTGTGTTCAGCTAAGTCTCCAGAGTGTGACAATACCCCCATGTAATGGTTTTATCCCTGGTGTTTTGGAAAGTTACAGGGTTAAATACCGGACTTGCCAATTAAATTCTCTGGACTATCTGCCTGGGATGTCAGCAGGTCCCTCAAATTATAATTAATAAAATCAAATAATTATGTAAAATTTTACATATGTATATATATGTATAAATTTATATATGTAGAGTGTGTGTGTGTGTATTTTTAAATTACATTTATATCATTTATATTATTATATATATATAATTCCAAAAATGAAGTGGGTACACTCAAGGGATTTTCGTGAAAAAACTTGTATATTATATTGCATACTAGCAAAAAATTAGTGATCGGGACAGTGTGTTACTTTTTTGCTAATATGCTATAAAAATACTATTTTTTTTTCATAAAAATCCCTTGAGTGCACCCATTTAATTTTCGACTTATCTACTTAATGCGGTTAGCACCAGAGTGCAGTATTGTCTCTGTATACAGGAAGGTGAGTTTCAAGCCTTTGGATGTATAACATATAATAAAAAAAATTAAAGCATTTTATAATATATTATACATATATATGATTTTATTTTAAGTGATAGTTTGAGATATATGTGCATTATACATGTATAATATCTTATAAAATGCTTTCATAATATATATATATATATATTTATTTTTTTTACTTTTTAGCAGCCTGGGCGACTGCATGACAACTCAGACAGTCCCCCTGCTGGCAGCTCTATAGACTCCTATTGCGGCCATGTGATCATGGAGGGCCAGAGATGCTGCAGGAGGAATGCTGGGGTCTGCAGCAGTCCCCCCAACTGTGATCGCTGTGGATCTCCGTTCCAGTATGTCCGGTCCTATTTGTCCTTATTGACCTTTTTTGTCGGACATACCTATTAAATTTTTTTGTTTATTTTTTCCAATTTATTTATTAATGATTTTTTTTATATTATATATATATATGGAAGGCATGGCCTGAAGTTGTGGGAGGGGCTTGGTTCCCCTTCTTAAGGAGCACCAGCCCTTCCCTCATTACCTGTTAGGTCTGGCGAGTTGCTTGGAGAAAGATCGTCACTTCCGGTCCACCTCACGCCACTCTGCTTACCTGTATCCCCGTGGGCAGCTTCTAGTCTTCTGTTTCCTCTGGATTTCGTCTGCCTCAGGCGTTCGCAGGGTTTTTCGTTGCGGTAAAACCGTAAGTCATACGGCTGTCGCAGTTTCCAGCGCGGCCGGTCTACGTCATCATAGTACGCCATTCACGCGAATAACGGCATTCGTTAAACAATAATGTTCGGTTCATATCTGTGGGTAAATGTTTATGTGTATGGGGCAATTCGTGTTTATACTCTGGCCTTCTTAGGGCCTTTCGTTTGCCGAAACGTTTTTATTTATTTCTTCTCTCCCGTTCCCCTCTTTCTTAATACTAGATGTTATAATAATGATAGGCAATAGGGCGACCTCTGGTGGCTGTTTACCATTATAGTTTCTCTCTCCTGTTTGGTCCCACGACCCCTGATGGTCATTAAGGTTATGACATATGGTATTTTTTACATTTTAATTTGTATACTACTTAACTTATATACATATATTATGACACATCTCTTACAATAACATGCTACAGAGGATTTTTGCAGCTATAATGATGACACATTGGGCTTGTTAAAACAAAGTCTTGAGTCAAGTTAGCCATCACAAGGTCAGTGAATTATTATACTTTGGCCTACAATTTTCCTTATTATTAGTATTTATATATGTTAAAGACATATTAGCACAAGCATGATTAGCTATTTTTTACGATTATAGGACCTCTTAGGTTTTCAGTATTCTACAGTAATTCCACAGTGGGCTGCCACTCTACCAACTTGTCAATTAACATAGGTCAGTAATCACGATTAATTATACCATATTGGTCACACAAGACACGGGTCCTTATATGTGTTTTCTGTATTAATAGGTATAGGCATCCTCGCTCTTTTGAGTATTTTGGTTCCAGTCCCTTACTGTCGGAATAAATCACTGGTAGGTATCGGGATAACAGGGGATTGAGGGGTACATAGTTTAACCCCTTACAAACTCAAATTACTCTCGTAGGTTGCTACAGATCGCCTGTATCATCTTATACTAGCTGGCAAATTTAGCTCGTCAGGTACGTCATGTTTTCTCGATTATTTCTCCCTCCCTATGAATACCAATCAAAGGTTGCCTCTTTTTACAGAGGAGTGTGTATAACAAAAGTGCACAAAAGAGTCAAAAAGTGATTTACAGGCAGCTCAATACACTAGTGTGGAAATATCCTCTATTCCACTGAATAAATTTAGTAGATATTGGTGCGGTGTAAGTTACAAGGACCTACACCTATAAGTGGAACGCTCAAACACAGATAAATCTTACCAAAACGTAGTCTCATTCAATGGTAAAATATGGGGTACATGTCAAAATAAAATACAGAAAATACAATATAGTGTAGATGGTACTAAAAAATGGCTTCACAGTGATTATAATAATATCGTGTTGAATATTACACTCACATTTCAAGGAGCCTGTATATAGAAAACACTGGCTCCGTATAAAGGCTTGTGTGCTGTTATGGTAGCACCACCCTCCTACTTCGGCTTGAAGAATTTCTCGGGAACACGAAAAAAAGAGAAGAAAGCAAACCAATGTGTAGACTTATGGTGATAAATGACACAGATATGTGTTCAATAAATGGGGTGCTCACCTGGTCCTGAGCCTACGAATCCCGGCTCTAGGTATGTGGATTTTGTGCCAATTTGAATGGGGATGGCACTACCCCTGTGAGGATTCCTTGGAGGCTCCAAAAAGAACTTGGATGAGGTATTAAATGAAAATGGTAAATTTATTAGTTTAAAATAAACATAAAAACAAAGATGATAAAAGTCCTCAAATAAAAGTCCTTTAAAAATGGCCAATACGCGTTTCACTCTCAAATAGAGCTTCTTCTGAGCTGACTGAAGAAGCTCTATTTGAGAGTGAAACGCGTATTGGCCATTTTTAAAGGACTTTTATTTGAGGACTTTTATCATCTTTGTTTTTATGTTTATTTCTCCCTCCCTACCTACCCTTTTTGGGATAACAGTACAGATACTGGCACACACAATAGGAGCCTCTAGGTATGTTTTCTTGCCTTCTACGCCTTTTGTTAGTGGTCCCAGAGGCCAACACCCATTCTCAATTCGGAGGTACGGCATCCCCTAGGGCCAATTCATAGCTAGCCGCCTCGCTTGGTTGCATAGAGAGGGCCTCACCTGTCACTCCCATTCTGTCTTATGCTTTTACGAGTCACAGAGAGGCCATCACCCTGCCATAATGCCAATGGCCACATACCCCACACGAGCCAAATCATAGATAGTGCCTCTCAAAGCCGCTTGGCAACTAGTAGGGCCTCACCAGTCACGTTCTAAGTAATTTTTCGCCGCTTGGCATTAGTTACACCAGCCAGTGCAGTAGGACCCCAGATAACATATTTTTATGTTGTAGCATGTCACAAATACCCGAAGGCGGGGAAGATTTGTCCATCTCCAGCACACCGGCTAGATCAGTCACTCCACCCCGGGCTGACGACAACGCGAGCCCTGCATCACTCAGGGCATGGACCATTCCTTGGATCACTGCCGAACTACAAAAGAGGAATATTCCTTTCCCAGCCACTGCTAGAAAAGCAGAATTGTACAGACTGTTGATTACACAGACTGATAACTCAGGGGCGGGGGAAGGGTCCAGTGGCAGCCAGTCTTCTGATCTGCATACTGTTTTGTCCTCAGTCCTCACTTCTTTGGGCCGTATTACCGATAAACTTGACAAGTTGGATGCAGATAGCCAGCAACGGTCAGCTTCTGCATTAGGTACCCCGGTTGCTACCGCGCGCCTGGACCCCCTACCGGGTAATATACCAAACAGTCTTAGAAATCTGTTTATTATTAATGGTGCCTGCAAACACTAAGAAGGAAATCTTGGAAGGGAAGGATATCAATCTGGTATCTCTTCTTATAGCCTTGCAAGATGTCCTTGAAAATAGAATCTACGCATATGGGGATGTGTCGGTGGTATAAAAATCTAGGGACCCTAGGTTAAATCGGAAGCTATCTATCCCCGAATTTGTGTTAGCTTTCGGGATATACAGAGATGTGATTTGCTCAGTATATCCGGATAGGAGAGAAGAGTTGGACCTTTATCTCCACAAGCTGGTGGATTTGGGGCACAAGTACGGTGGTACGTCCTTTTACAACTACCACCGTGCCTTTTCCGCGAAGGCGTCGGCCGCTCTTACTCAGTTTAATCATCAAACTGATTGGGGTACGTTGATACAGAGCTTTTTTGTCGGCACTTTGCGGGCCTCAAAACCCCAGCTTGTGTCATTTGCTCGTCCAACTCCCACACGGCTAATCTGTGCCCTAACTCTCCCGAGTTAAATGCCGTTTTTCCCCCTACTAACATTATGCCCACTGGGAGAACAGGCAGGGTGCTGAAAGACAAACTAGGCCGTGCTATAGTGTTTTTGGGAAAATCGCAAGTCTGTAATAATTTTAACACTGGCACTTGCGGATACAGTGCCTGCAGACTGCTTCACGTCTGCTCCCAATGTTTCGGGGCTCACTCAAAAGTAATGTGCCCCAATCAATTATTTCCTAAGCAGTACTTATCGTCTCTTAATGTCTCCCTACTGGAAAAGCTTTTGTGTGAGCACCCATGGCGACATCTCGTTGAGTTTTTGGTGGCAGGATTTACTTTGGGGTTTCACACGGGTATTATTCACACGGGAATCTTGGAATGTAAAAACTTGAAGACAGCTCTAGCAGCTCCAGACACTATAAACCTACTCCTCCAGAAGGAAGTTGACCAAGGTTTCTTAATAGGCCCTTTCGTCTCCCCGCCTTTCGCGGTCTGGAGAACTAATCCCATACGACTGATCACTAACAAATCCTCCAATAAGCAAAGGTTAATTCTCGACCTATCTGCTCCCCATGCATCACCTACCCCAAGTCTCAATTCTCTTATTCCATAAGAAGAATTTTCCCTTCAATATGCGACCATAGATAATGCTGTCACTGCCATCCTCTCTGCCGGGGTAGGGGCATGGCTGAGTAAATCTGATATTGTAAATGCCTTTAAGTTACTCCCTATCCACCCTTCCCTATGGCATTTACATGGTGTTAAGTGGCAAGGTTCGTATTATTGTTTCACGCGCCTCACGTTTGGTTCTAAGAGCAGCCACAGGATTTTTTATATTTTTGCTGAGACGTTGTGCTGGATGCTGCTTAACATCTGTAAATGCCCAACCGTGATCCATTACCTGGACGACTTCCTGACCATAGAAAGGAGCCTGGTACCTCCTAGTAGCCTCCTGTCCATAACACGACTGTTCACACAACTAGGGGTACCTGTTTCGCCAACAAAGACTGAAGGTCCAGATACGATCATCAACTTCTTGGGAGTGGTACTGGACTCTGTACATATGCAGGCTAGCCTCCCCGGGGAGAAGATTAATCGCATCCTAGCAGCCATCGACCTTTACCTAGCAGGTGGCTCATGTAATAGGAAAGAGTTACAATCCCTGTTGGGTTCCCTAAATTTCACCATGAAAATAATTCCACAAGGGAGAGCGTTCATATCCCGTTTGCTTAGGCTATTTCCCCTGTTTCACTCTGATACCACCCGCATTACGTTAGACATACATGCCACCGCTGACCTACATATGTGGAGAGAATGTTTGCTAAATTGGAATGGGAAAAGCATTTTTATCCCGGTATGGTCAGATAAGTCAGTATCATTATGGACGGATGCCGCTGCTACGTCATGTTTCGCAGCTATTTGTGGCAATGAATGGATGTGGGGTAAGTGGCCAGGGGAAATTACTGCAATCCCCAAGTTCAAAGACACATCAGCCTTATTCGAGCTTTACCACATTGTGGCAGCAGCAGTTAAGTGGGGAACTGGCTGGTCTGGGAATACTGTGCGTTGCTTCTCGGACAACATGGCAACGTGCCATATTGTTAACAAGGGTCGTTCCTCTTCCCTGGCCATCATGCGGTTTATGAGGACTCTCACTTGGCTAGCTGCTAAACACAGTTTTCTTTTAACTTGCATTCATGTGCCTTGGGTTCTCAATATCGCCGCTGATCACTTATCACGGTCTCGGTTTCAGGAGTTTCCCGGGCAGCACTACCAACAGCTACCCTGACACCGACTCCAGCACCTCAGTGGCAGGAATTGGTTTGGGACTAAAAGAATTGCTCTA